GTTTATGTCCAATCTTGCATTAATGCATGTGTGTTTTTGCTTGATAGAATCCCAAAACTAAATGAAGAAAGTGTAACGAGAATGCCCCCAGACAACCGTATGTTTCCTGTAAAAGAGAATGCTGGTATATTAACCCCCAAGGTTGAGTACCAGTGCAAGTATGTTTCCAAGTAATCCAAAGAGGAAAGAGAATGGTCTCCCGTAAATTTCATAATGGTAATTCCTCTTAGTGAGTCGTTATAACCATGCTAGATTATGAAAAGTTCGTCTGTCTTGGCGTTTAAGAACGCCAACGGAAAATAGAATAAGGTTTTGGTCACCGTAGATTGATGTTGTCTAACTATAGAGAATAGCTCAGGTGTGGGGTGTCATCCTCGTATAGATCTATACACAAACCCCCGCTCTCCCTCCAATAGACCCTGGTTATAACTACAGGCTACGACCGTACACACAATAGGTGTCAACCGACACGTCTCACTAGATCCTTAATCAAATTTTATGCGAAGAGAAACAAACAAACTCATTCCAGGCCCAATGAACCATGTAAGCGAACCACTGAGTCTCACTAAACACGTAAGTCATTTTCAGGCTCGAAGGAATGAGATTATATAACATGGGCTCAAAATATATGTAAAAGGACAACTAAGGTCCATTTCACATGTAAGGTATTTATAGGCCCAAATAGCACGCAAGTAGTATCCATGGTCCGTCTCGCATGTTAATGGGTCAATGAGGTCCAATAGACATATAACTAACATTCAGGACCTATCAAGCATGTAAATGGGCCACCAAAGCCCGATAGCATGAGAAAGACAAAAATTAGCCGATTTGTTATTAGTTTGGTAGTATTAGCTCATTTAGTTACTAAAATAGCACAAACGCCCACCTTTGGTAAAAATTAACATTCTTGGCCCATTAAGCCAAAAACTTACAATTTATGCCCAATTTTAGTAAAAATAACATTTTAGGCCCCGTTTTGGACAAAACTTTTATTTAACGCTAGCTTTTGGTAAAAATTACATTTTTAACTCATTCTTGTCAAAAATATCATTTTGGCTTGATCTTTGTGAAAATATACATTTTCGACTTATTTATAGAAAATTTCATCTTTTTGACCTTAATGTTCATAATTTCACAACTTTGACCCATTTTATAAAAAATTTACATTTTTGACACAACTTTCCTGAAAATGACAATTTAACCCATAAAAGACCAAAAATTACAAATTTTGGGCCCAAAAACTGTGAGAAGCCCAAATAAGGCCCATTTATAAAATTATTACATTTTTGGTCCTTATAAGGTCTCAAATGACGACTTTAGCCATTTTTTTAGCAAAAAGTTCCTTTTGAACCCCTTACTAGCCGAGAGTTACATAAACAACCCATATTTTGTCACTTTTTTCATCTTTAGTCCTTTTCATGAAATTTTTCTTAGATTCAAGTATGGTTGATGTATTTTAACCCTTTTTCTTGTAAGAAATGTTGAAATAAGTGTTATGTTATACCAATATCATCATCTCTTAGTAGATCTTTTAGTTCATGAAGTTTACAAGATATAAACACATATGTAATCAAAGAAACACACAAAATCATGCATACACACATAGTTTTACACAAAACAACTTGTATTCTCCCCCAAACCAAGGTAAAAATCGAAAATATGGGGTATGAACTCACATTGCTTTGATGCTTTTGGTTTTTGTTGAAGGATGGATGAGATCTCAGCCCTAAATGTGTTCTTGAGGAGATTTTCAAACATAGATGGTTCTAGGAAACATGATTCACGAGAACATGTGTGTGAGAGGAGTAACTGAGTTTAGAATGAAGTATATCAATCTTTAGTTTGTAAGATCTTACCACAATGTGAAGGTTGAAGTGATCCTATTGAGAACCCACCTAATACCCACGATTTTTCTTGAGATAAGAAGAGTGGAAGAGTGTTGAATTGTTGAAAGAATAAGTGTTGTGTTTGAAATGTGAGAGAGGTTGGAGAGTGAGAGAGAGGATGAGAGATAGAGTGAGAGATAAGAGAGAGGAGAAAAGATCGACTTTTGAAGAGGATGATGTGAGAGTTTCATAGATACATGTACTCTTGCATGGATATCCATCAAATACGAATGAGGTGTCACCCCCATTTCCCTGTCATTTGTTTTTTTGTTGTTGGGCCGAGAGAGGGGGAAGGAAAAACGAAATGAAATGGTTTGGGCCTATCCTTGCTTTAGGTCGAGATTATGAGGCCCAATACAAATATTTTTCAGCCTATGGGCCCTTATGAGGGTTTACGACCTAATGAAGCCCATGAATATAGTTTACGGCCCATTAGGGCTTATGAAACTATTTATGGCCCATTAGAGATAGATGGATCATTCTAGCCCCACATGACCCAAAATGCGTTAGTTTCATGGATGTAGGTCCAATTAGAGTCTAAATAGGGTTCCCACGCCCAAAACAGTCAATTTGAAAGTTTATTGGTCCATTAGGCCCAATAAGAGGATCATAGTCCATAATGAACTTGCATCGTAATTTTTAGGGTTTCCAACCCATAGTTGAATATGTGAGATGTATTGCATTAGGTTTTGAACTTCAATCATAAGTTTAGATTCAAATGGATGATTTCATGTTAGAATGTAGCATGATATCTATTTAGAGTACTAGTATTACAACAACTGATGTTTACATGAAAAATAGAATTTTCCTAGCTAAAAATGCTAGTTGTGACACACATGACCTTCATTTACTACCTCTGCTTCTACAACTGTAGATTTTTTCCTCGTCACCTTAATGCTTATATTTATTATGAAGACAAAATATACTCAAATTTATATTTTTTTTGTGCAAATAGATACCAATATTGGTATAATTACACATATAATTCCAAAATTACTTATACATTGACATTTCATGGTCATTTGTGAATTCGAGTAATATGAACCTACATAATAGCACTTTTAGTGAGCAATGATTCCATCAGCTAAACAAAAAGCTTCTCAATCTACTATAATTATAGATAGAAAGATGGTCAACATTATACGATGAAGGCAAGGAAGAAAGGTATCCTAACTAGAGAAAACTTAACATCATCCTGAAATAGAACAATAAGAATACAAGGTCTCATTTTATTTATAAAGTTACAAAACTAGCAATTTAGAACAACTTCAATAAAAGATGAAGAACATGAATTAGAATTCTTACATATATGCGAACATACAATACACAGAAACTAGAGGCAGGAGGCCTGTTCGACGCCAAGTAGATTGAATAAAAAAAATCAAAAATTGAAACCTATTTCAACCCTTCGCAAAACCTAGGTATCCACAGAAACCTAAACCAAACCAGATAGATATAGAGATGAAGAGAGATAAAAGAAAAAAAGACAACCACAAATGGAGAAACAAAACTATGTCTGTGTATACTTAAGCATTGATTTCATTGTTTCTTTGGGTTTTTTTTTGTGTGTTAATCCACAATACTAGCAATCAATAGGATGTGAAAGACATCACATGATATAATAGTTTGAATATAACATAAATACATAATATCCTATCAAGCATGCAAATGTAGTCAAAAAACAAGAAAGAGAATCTTACACGTTTGGAAAAGGAATCCCTATAATTATCCGAGATTATTAAAGTAACAGGTGGTATAGTGAAGGATCATATTGAAAACGAAAAAGGGTACCAGAAGTATAACCATGCTTTGAATAAAATATTAGCAATTAAATTATCATCATAATGAATTAAGAAGCAATTAATAACATAAAGGATACAACCGCACCAGCATTATCATGTGAGAAGTCAATTCATTCTGACACTTGTACATCCGATCATACTAATTTCATTATATAAATCAACAACACAATAAAGGGGAGGTTGGTTCCTATACAACATTTTATCAATTTATAAAAGTTAAAAAAATATGATGCGAATGACACATCAACAATATACCTTTCCTCGACAGACAACAAGAAATGTAGCTCCCTTTTTATCGTTCCCTTTAGAACATGATATTGCTTCCACCTTTTTAACCGTTCTCCTCCCATTCCTAATTGAAAGTTTCTTGCCACGAATTGTATCATAATAACCACTCAAAACTTGCTCAAAATCCTCCTAGCTTCCTCTTGGCTCTAATAAGTAATAACACAACAAACAAGACTCCATTATCAAACCACAAACTAACTATATGAGTTATTAGAGATAATAGATGACTTCAATAGAAGCATTGTTTTGCTCTTTAATGCATATTGTAGAATAACCTCACAAAAAAAAAAAGGTTTTTGTGCATTTAGGTGAGTCCATTGACCTGTTTCAGACCAACGACTGTGGAACTTGTCCATAAGTTTGTAGCTTGGGAAGAACACCAAATAGCCATGAGGGACAACTTTGCATATTTCTTCAAGGGATGTTCCAAGTGCATCATGCACAACAAAAACAAACGGTCACATCATATTTATAATCAAAAGAAATGGCACTACTAGAAACATGGGTTTTAGCGATGGAAAAATCTGTCGCTATTCCGTCGCTAAATGTTGTTTGCAATGGATCGGCGAAAGATTCACTCCATAGGTAATAAAAAGGTGGCTAATTTCTCAGCGAGGGTTTTAGTGACGGATCGGGTTTTTCCTTGTGACAAAGGTAGCGATAGAATATCCGTCGCTAAATGTCACTAAATGTCACTCAATGCATTCCGTCGCTGTTCTATCGCAAATTTCCATGAACAGTTTTTTTTTTCCGTAGCTAATCCCTTGCAAAATTCATATACTATTTTTTATTCCGTTGCTGATCTATCGCAAACTTTAGACAAGAATTTTTTTCATCACTAATCCCTTGCAAAATTCATACGTCAAATTTTTTCCTTTCCGTCGCTGATCCGTCGCACACTTTAGACATGATTTTTTTTCCATAGCTAATCCCTCGCAAAATTCATGCATTAAAATACTTTTTATTTTCTCACCACGAATTTGTAATATCATTTTTTTTATTATGAATCTAAAAGAAAATAATACTACAATCATCAAATTATTATACTAAAGAATATCAAATAATGATACAACCAAGCATTACACTACCAAAACTATCAAAGTTTACCAAAGTGTCATTCAAGAAACATCCAAAAACGAAACTATCCACATAACATCAAACTCCCAACGGTTTAACTTCAAAATAACATTTTAGAACCAAGAAATCCAAAGTATGCAAAAGAGGTACAAACAGAAAAAAGTTTAACCTTCAAAATAACATTTTAGCTGCTATCTTTATTTCATGTCCATCCAATCATCTTCGGTTCTCATTCCTATAAAACATTATTCAAAACAATCAAAAACATCCAATACAAAAGGTTAACAAGTCATTCAAAAACATCAAATACTAATGGTTAACATCATATTACCTCTACTTTTCAATTTCCCATCATATTTTGCAAGGCTGCATACATCTTCTCCATTGCTTCATATTTTGCATCAATTTGTTGTTGTTTGGCATCTATTGCTGCAGCTTTGGCATCCATTTCCTCACGCATTTGTTGATATTTAGCTTCCATTTCTGCAGCTTTAGCATCCATTTCGCCACACATCTCATTTTGTACACGTTCATAGACAACCTAAAGTACAATACCATGATAGGAAACTTTGTAAGTACAATGCCATGATAGGAAAATTTGTAAATATAATGCCATGATAGGAAACTTTGTAAGTACAATTCCATGATAGGAAACTTTGTAAGTATAATACCATGATAGAAAACTTTGTAAGTACAATGCCATGATAGGAAACTTTGTAAGTAAAATGCCATGATAGGAAACTTTGTAAGTACAATGCTATGATAGGAATTTTTTATAAAGTACAAAATTAAAAAAACCTCTTGGGATGTAATTGTACTAGATGTTCCTTCCAGAAAGCTCGCTGGATCAGACACAGATCCGAATCCATATATTCTTCCTTTCTTGATTCCTCCGGAAACATCACACCATGTTTCATTATCCAAGAGGGGGTGTCAACTAGTACCATCACCAAACTTAGCCACCATATCACTTTCATAAGCCTCCTATTATAGCAAAAAAAATATGAAAAAATAGTAACATGAAATAAGGAATGGAATGGTTCATTCCATCCCATTAAATTCATAATACTCAAACCTTGCATAAAGTTGATTACTACTTACAAAACACTTAATTACAACTAGGCAGAGGATCAAACATTTAGAGATAATAATTTGTTTCTTTTCTTTTGTAAGTTGATTACTACTTACGAAAGATTTGTTTTCTATCAATTAGTTGCTTTAACAAAGTCATTAACCCGAGTAGTAGGAAGTTTTGTTTCCTACAAAAGAATTGAAAATACCTTAGCTTTAGCTGCCTTTGGTGTAATGTACTCTTGAGTAGACCGTTTAGTGTGCAACCTTGCATAAAGTTCAACTCCTGTAGGAGGGCGTTTAAGCATTGCTTGCTACAAAATCCATTAGTAATACATTAAAAAACAAAACAAAAACTCAACAGTCTAAGTGGAAACTAACGTGAGATGCAAACATCTTACCATTCTTTTCTTATGTTGACGAATAGATATAGAACCCCCGGTATGTTTGGAAACAGAGCCATCTTCTAATTTATTTCTGTTATTTTTCCCTGATTGTGATAAACATTTCCATTTGGATGTGGTCCACACTTCATTGATCACTTTTTCCCAATACTCCTTTTTTATCCAATTTGGGCGATAGTCCTTTAGCAAATTTAAATCACCTTCTAGTGAGGCATTCGCATTTGCAGCTTTGGCAAGTTTTAAAGATGCTTCACGTGATCTTCGCATTACATTAGGAAATCGTTTCTTCATACAGTCTTCCCATACCTTGCGAGCAAGAACATCAGTCTCTTCGGGCCAAACATACAAACCCTACATGTAGATCACGCATACAATTATCTTTTTCATTTTATACCAATTTTTACTTTGATAAATCATAAAAATAATAAGTACAAACCTTGAAGTGTTCCCACATTGCATCACGATGTTCTTTGTCAACCTTCTTCCATGAGGTCCATGGGCCGTCAAACATCGTCTTTAGTATACATGTGATGACTCTAATCACTGAAATTTGATCCGTAAATCTTGCAAAAAATTAAAAATCAAAAAATTAGCATTAGTATTATCATTAACAAGTAAATTCATTTTCATAAACAATTGTAAAATTAACTTTAGTACTCCTTTTCAGAATCGACTTCAATGAACTTCCTTTTTGATGGGTTACTTGGAACTTGTTCTAAGTTGTTTGATCCTCTAACTGAAGAAGAAGGTTGACTTTCTGCATCATTGTATGATTGGGATGCATTTCTATCTCCAGCATCACGACCACTAATGTGACTACCACTGCAACCACCACCACGGGCTCCTCGTTGCGCCGTTAGTAAAAAAATAACCCTTAAAATCAAGAATTAATAAACTATTGGTTAGAACAAGTATGTATTATAATAGAAAATTATAGAAGTAAGAGAAGGTAACATGCTATAATACACAAATAAATGAAAGTGCAATGTATATAGAAAATGAAAACGATCATTTTAGCTAAAAAGTTATTTATAAGGTCCATTAGGCAAAATATATAGTTCCAAATACATTGTTTCATTCTACATTTTTAGTAATTACTCATCATCAGAATTATCATCACATATGTTTTCATCTTCAATATCATCTTCGGATGAATCATCTAAGTTATCATCAACTTCTTCATCCTCTTCTCTCTCAATGTCATTGTCATTAACTTCTTCTATTTCTCCTTCAATTACATGAGAAAGGGGTCCTGCCACCTCATTTGCACCGCTACTTGTAGAAGGTAAAGTCGTTTTCACTTTCTTGAAAGAATTGGTCCTCTTCATCCTCATCATCATCTTCTTCAGTAACACATTGTTGTAGATCATATACACCCCTTGGTTTCGTCTTGACGATAGCCACCAATCTTTCAAATCCTTCATTGCAGGATATGGTGCATAATACACTTGTTCTGCTTGTGATGCTAGGATAAACGAAATCTTCATTTCTTAGCCTTGATTTGTATTTAATATCAACCAAATTATGCTTTCGATCCACACGTACCCTTCAGTAGGGTTAAACCATGTACACTTGAACAATACTACGACACAACGCCCTATGCCTTGATATTCTACTTCCAAGACCTCATCCAACAGCCCATAATAGTCACACTCAGTCTCATTGTAACAAGTACCTCTTACACATACACCACTATTATGTGTGACCCGTCCATCACCATATTTTTCAGTATGAAACTTGTAACCATTGACAAAGTATCCTTTATAGGACCTAACATGTCGTAATGGTCCTCATGCAAGGCATTTCAGATGTTGATTGATATCATTTGATTGTTGAGAAACCTACATTGATAAATTCATTTGTTAACTAATTCACAGGGGAAGACACTTTGGTAATACAAAATTTTCTCGTATCATACTCACATGATCTTTAAACCACTTAGCAAAATGTTGATCCCTAAACCTTTCAAATGCTCCATCATCCATATTAGGTTGGCTTTGGATCACATAATTTTCAAACAACCTTAAAAAATAACAAAAATTTTAGAGTTTCACGAAATCAAGGAAAAATAGATAACTTGACATACCTTAAAAAAGGTAGAACCTCAACACAATTGATCAATATGTAATTATGAGTAATACGCATCTCATCATCTGTCAAAGGCCTCTGTTGACCACTTTTTTCGAATAATCTTCGAGATGGAACTTTGAAAATGCTTAATCGAGATTCGACCATGGTATAACTAGGAATGTTTGGGGCAAAATTACGCGACTCACGATTCAACCGGGTTTCAATTGTAGGCAAAAAGTATTGTGAGCAAAAAGTCGATATTTCTCCAATCATGTAGGCCTCAACAATGGACGCCTCAACCTTCGCATGGTTTTTTTATCTTTCTTTTCATTGATCCCAATTTCCTAAAAAGATGTTGGAAAAGACTTATTAGAAATTCCATAGGTTTTATGGTAGAATATTTTGTATGGTAAAAATTATACCATTCATAAAGATACATCCACCTATATTGAACCGGACCACCAAGCATAGCTTCTTGAGCTAAGTGGATAACAAGACGCTCCATTGAATCAAAGAATCCAGGTGGAAATATTTTTTCCAACTTGCAAATGGTTTCAACAATAGTAGTTTGCAAGCGTTGTAAGTCATATATGCGTAACACCCTTAACATATTACACGAAAGAATGTACACAACTCTGTAATTGCATCCCATGTTGAGTTTGGCACCATACCTCTTAGAGAAATAGGCAACAATCTTTGAAGAAATACATGGCACTCGTGACTCTTGAATTTGTAAAAGCTATTATCATCTACATTAATGCACCCCCCAAGTTTGAGGTGTATCCGTCCGGGAATTTAAGTTTAATCAACCATTGGCATATTTTAGCTACTTGTTCTTTGCTCAAAGCAAACGATGCTCTATTTTTCATATCCTTATTTCCCTTCTTCCATGAATGCCATTACACTCGATTGCAACACATTTCTATATCTTTTCTTGCATTCATGTTGTCTTTGCTTTTCGGAGTGTCCATCACAGTGTTGAAAAGATTTTCAAACACATTTGTCTCAATGTGCATGGGATCAAGGTTGTGCCGTATTAACAACTTTCGCCAATATGGTAGATCCCAAAAGATTCTCCTCTTAACCCAATTATGAGTAATCCCGAAAGCATGCAATTTTGCATTCTTCGCTCTAAAAGGTTTGCCTTCATAAACAGTTGGAAAGTGTCGTACTTGCTCCCAAATCTGATCACCGGTTAATATTGGTGGGGGGCTAGATCGCTCAACCTTATTAGCCAGAAATCCTGTTTTGTCACCCCGGTATGTGTGTTGTTCAGGTAAAAATTTTCGATGGCAGTCAAACCAACATGGTTTACTACCATGGTGTAACTGAAACGACCCCGACTCACCCATACAATACGGACATGCTAACTTGCCATGTGTGCTCCATCCCGATAACATTGCATAAGCAGGAAAGTCACTAACTGTCCAAATAAGTATAGCTTTCATTGTGAAATTGCATTTAGTCGAAGCATCATAAGTGACAACACCGTCTGTATATAGCATCTTTAACTCGTCAATTAGCGGCCTGAGAAACACATCTATATTTTGACCTGGGCTCTTTTTTCCAGGAATAACTATGCTTAGTTGAACATATGGTTCTTTTAAGCACATCCAAGGAAGCAAGTTATAAATTGAAAGGAAAACAGGCCAACATGAATACGGGGTTGTATTTGAGTTATTTGGACTGAACCCGTCGGTGCATAGCCTAAGGCGAACATTCTGTGGTTCACTTGAAAATTCTTGATGCATTGAGTCGAAATGCTTCCAAGCCTCACCATTACTTGGATGGACCATCAAACCCGATTCCGTTTGATGTTCATAGTGCCATGTCATTTGATTTGCCGTTTTTTTTGTCAAATACAACCTTTGGAGTCTAGGAGGAATCGGCAAGTACCTCATAACCAAATAAGGCAGTTTGCCACTCTTGTACCGATCATGATCACACACTCGACACTTAGTCAAATCATACTCTGCCCCATAGAATATCATGCAATGGTTTTTGCAAGCATGGATCTTTTTTTCTGCGAGTCTAATTATTTTTAAAAGCTTCTTCGTCTCATAGATGTTCTCAACTAGTTTCTCACCTTTGGGTAGCAACCGCTTAATTATAGGAAGTATGTGATCATAAGCAGCCTCAGATATATTGTATTCTGACTTCCAATGCAACAACTTTGTTGCGGCTTGTAATTTTGAATAATTTTCACATCCATCCCACAAAGGTTCATCAGCGTCTTCCAACATATCATAGAACCCCTTGGCATTTGGATTCGGGAGTTCCTCCATTACATCCATCAACATTTTTGTACACCCATTATCATCATCATCATCATCATCATCTTCCATCGGATCCTGCATCGGATTACAAGATTCTTCCTCATGCTGAGATATCGTATTTCTTTCCACATGTTCCCACCAAGTTGTGTAATTAGGAGTGAAACCGTTTTGTAACAAGTGAAGCTCTACATCACCTCTTGTTTTATAATACATGTTCTTTCATTTAAAACAAGGACATCTAATATAATCCCCATCAACAGTTGCTTCATTAGAAAACGCAACATCCAAAAATCCTTTGACGGATGCATGATATGTTGTGCTAAGATACCCATGATCTAACCTTTTGTACATCCAATCTCTATCACTACGTGTTGACATAATGACTAGCTACAAACAAATATATAACTATTATTTAGAAATTAGATAATGCAATCATATCCACATTACTAAAAGCATCCTTGGAAACTACAGTTATACTACATGAAATACTTATTTTTATTAAAAGCATCACCAAAAAGATAATTATGGAAAACTAGAACTATAGGAATGGGTTCAATCTTCTCTAGGGTATGCTCATTTATCTCTTTACAACACTTTTTCTTTTTAAAAGAGAAATATATTTGGTTCTGTATGTGTTTTATATGACCTAAATAATGGCTTTCCTGACAGATACCACCAGTTTCTGTTAGATATGGAGTTGGGATATCAGATCATGATAGTGAAGGAAGGCTTGTGACAATAGAGTTTGATTCGTTTTATCTAATAAGTGGATATGTTCCTAATTCTGGTGATGGTCTGAAAAGGCTGGTAAAACAGCTACTCATCTTTTTAGCATTTTATTTTAGTTTATTTTATTTTATTATGTGTTATCTTTTAGTAATAATTTGTGTGGATGCATTTATATCTATAGCCATACAGGACAACAGAGTGGGATCCTAGTCTTAGCAATTATGTGAAGGTAATTAATTACATATTGTTGTTAACTTTTGTTTTGATTTTGTCTATTATGATAATCTTTGTATACAATACATTATTGATTATACATATAGGAGCTGGAAAAGTCAAAACCTATCATCTTAACTGGTGATCTGAATTGTGCTCATCAAGAAATAGACATCTACAATCCTGCAGTAAGTTGTGTATATAAGAAGTTAGGTTAAGATTCATCTTTTGTTTATTGTTTGTTATTGTCTGTAGGGAAACAAACGTAGTGTTGGTTTTACAATTGAGGAAAGAATGTCATTTGAGGAAAATTTCCTAAAAAAAGGTTTTGTTGATACCTTCCGGAAATAGCATCCTAATGTTGTTGGCTATACTTACTGGATTTCAGGCATGGTGGGCGAAAAAATAACAGAGGTAGCATCCTAATGTTGTTGGCTATACTTACTCTATTTGTATATAATAAATATATAAGATTTTATTTTAAAAATGTTTTAGCCTTTTATGTAGTGTTTGTTATGATGGAGTTATGGAGAAAGAGTGAAATGGTTGCTATTATAAACAAATTAATAGATGTAGGTTGCTATTTGTTGCATTCAAATGTAAGAGTTATGGTAAACCAAAATGTGAATTGTGAAACAGGATGGAGGCTGGACTACTTCCTTGTATCAGAGTCGATTGCAGATAAAGTCCATAACTCTTTCATTCTTCCAGATGTTACAGGCAGTGATCACTGTCCAATTGGCCTTGTTCTTAAGCTGTAATCCAAACTGTCTGAAGGAGTTAAGTCGAGAAAATAGCACTTATGTAAGGCTTTTGCTTTAAAATCTCAACTCCCCTTTTCATCACCAAGGATAGATAGATTGCTAGAAATATAAGTGTTTATACTCTAGACTATTTATTTCCTTTTATAATAACATTACTTTTTTTTTGTTAACACGTTGTCCTTTGAAAAATCTATCAAATTCCATACTCTGAGTACCAGCTAAACTAATTAACATATTGTTGTAGTGGATAAGTTTTTCACAATACGATATAATAAAAGAATAAATATGAATAAATGATTAATACCAGAGCAATTATGTAATATGAATAAATGTAAACTTCGTATTATAATAAAAGTAAATGAAACTATAAAGTGTTGTTTTATAAAAGGACAAATATCATAAAAGTCCCAAGTTTTTCACACGTAATTAGGAGAAACCCTGTTATTTATTTTTTTGGTTGATTCTGGTCACAACTTTTACGCAGAATCACAACTTGATTCTGGTTAGAACTATAGGAATGGGTTCAATTTTTTTTAAACACTTTTCTTATTAAAAGCATCATCAAAAAGATAATCTATTATGCATACGGGGAAAAGAACAGATTGCCTGGGAAGGAATGGGTTCACTTTTTTGTTGAGAAGGGTGATACTGATAAAGAAAATATTGATGTGCTAACTGAGGTCGAGCAAGTGGATGTGATAACTACAAATCAGGGCAATACTGAGGAAGCAAAGATAACAAGGTTGTATGTTAGAATTTGGGTGATATTGACCATTTTTATCCACCTTAAAGGGATGAAAGTTAAAAAAGATAGCAACACGAATGAAATGGAATGGCTGGTGCAGTGGCCAAGATTGCCGGAAGTAGAAGCAACGTGGGAAGAATTCAAGAAGATGAAACTAAGGGTTCTGGATGTTCACCTTGAGGACAAGGTGAAAGTGTGGGATGCCGGTATTGATAACCCCAAGTAATCCTAGAGTGCTTCTAGTTGATCTGCTTGATTATAGTTATTTTGGTCTAGGGGTAGTTCGGTCTTTTATTTAGTTATTTTGCAGGTTAGAGTTAGTGGTTATTCAAAGTAGTGGGGATATCACCTCGCTAAGATGTTATTCCTTTTTGTCCTTTTCTTTAGTAGTAGTATAAATAGTAGTTAGGAGTATTAGTGAGGTAGCTAAGAATTAATCTGTAAGAGAACTTTGTTCTTCTTTTGGAGAGACTCTCACCTCTAGAATTGTGAGAAAAATTTGAATATTATCAAGAATTTCTGTTAGTAAGAGTGTTATAATGCCTGGGGTTTACGATAGATTCAACAAAGGTCTATCAATTACACGGTTCCAGAGGTCCTCGTATTATGTTCATATGGAATACTACATAGTATGCTGCTAATTATTCCTAGGATCATCTTTGCTTTTGTTTTTTTGTTTGCGGTTTCAGTACCATAAGTTCATTAATATGATGACCTGGCATTTACAATAAAAAAAAAGTTTCTTCATCTCATTGTTTTTCAGAAAAAAGTTGAAAGAGTTATCATAATAAAACTAAGTCCAATAACTATAATGCTTACTCTTTTTCTGTTGTATACCCTGCATAAGCAAGAAAAAGAAAATCATAAAGCTTTTAGTTCATCCATTCAACTTTGTATGTTGTTAATGTTATATGATTAACACATGCTAAAAAAATATGTAATAATGACTTTTTCTTAAATCAAAGTAAGTGTTTTTGTATTTGAATGTTGGTAAAGATTTTTTTGCTGATTTGTCCTTCAGCTGTCTCTCATATGTAAAAAATCCCTAAACATAAAGCCTGAATGTTAGACACTTTTTTACAACTAACATACATAAAACACAGATCCAAATATAGAAAAAAGATAAAGTCTGGTGTATTATTCTACACAAAGAAACATATGGGTAAATGAAAGATGGATATGTGTCACCATTGATGAAAATCTTACTTTAAAAAAAATCAAAATATTACAAAAAGAAAAAGATGAGAAAGGCACAGAATTTACTATAGTTTCTGCCATTGTTAGAGGTTGACCTACCACTATTCTTCATCTTCTTGTTTATTGTCAATTAAATTTATCAATGAAATATGTTGAACCAAAATGAGGTGGAAATCAAAGTACTCCTATAAAGAATGAAAAACTAAAGAAAGAAAACATACTCTTATTGCTAGGATCATTTTTGCTTGAGGCTTCAGTGCCATGAACTCTTCCTACATTATTATGAGATCAGAAACATTAAAAAAAATTTATATAAATTTTTTACATATAGGTGATTGCTGATTTCTTGTCAAATGAAGAAGTTGAAGACATCAAAGAAACATTCAAAAAAATTGATCTTTGTGTCCATCCATGTAAATGTTAGATATGGATTGATGATTTCTTTCATTGTGAATTATATGTGGCATGATTTTTGTACTCATCAGATCTTGGATTCACAACCAGAAAGTCAAAGGCAATGTTTCGGAGAGAAAGGCACTTGCAGATTTTTTCGAGATCTTGGATAACTGTGGTTAAGTTTGGTGGTGACCACTCGGGTCTAAAGGATGCCATGAGAGTTGCTGATTTTTTCAAGAGACAGAAACACGGGCGTGGCTCCTAGGCATCCCTCAGATCAGTTTCAGGTTCAGGTTCAGGGAGAGATGAAGACAAAGATCCAAATTTTGTCAAGTTTGATAACAAGACAGGGGAGAAAGAGAGAGTCTTGTAATCCAAAAAGAAACAGCCCTAGCCCATATATACAGGGGCAGCAATGCAGTTATGCAGACCCTTTTGAACTTTGTGAGGCTGTTTAGAAAAGCTCATGAAGAAAACTATAAACAGACTAAAATAGATAAGAAGAAAGATCAGAAAGAGGTTGAAATGGAGAGGGCAAAGGGTATTAACTTAACAAAAAAAATATATATAATAAAATTACAAGAATATGTAAAGCATGTTGATACCCACACACCCAGAAAGAAAGTCAAAGGGTGTTTGTTGACCAAAGGAACCTGAAAAGGGTATGGTTGTCCATGCACATACACATACACATACACCCATAGTTCCTGTATCTGTTAGTTACACTTCACAGGGGTGATGTTGAAGTTCTAGTGTTAGAAAAAGTTAGTCACTATTCTAGGAACATGTTCTTAGGTTTGTGATCATGACTTTTGATCCACCAGAGCTAACATGAAGAAATGAGATTTTAAGAGAATCAATGGGGAAACACATTATTGTTAGAAGCATGTTGCTTGAGATGCTAATTGATCTAGCAGTGACCATTACATCATAATAGCTTCTTGAACAATGGCATAAGATTGCCTCCTCTAAGTTTATAACTTACTTTTTTGATGAAGCAGATCATCCTATAACTATGAGATGGGTGATGAATCTTCTCCATTCAAACAATGATTGCCTAGAAACTGGTGCTGTTAGGCTTGCTGTAGAGCATATGGATGCATGTACAGAGATGACAGGAGAGCTTCAGGGTGAGGCTTTGATGCACAAAACTTATGCTACCAGGCTTATATAGGACTAAAGCAACCAATCAAGCCCTATATCAAGTTCTTATTCTAAGTATCTATTCTAATAAGATTGAAAAATTATTCAAAATTACATATTTGAGTCGATTAGTAGCAAAGAGTAAGAAATTAAACCCTAACGCAATCGATATAAGAGGAATGACGATTGAAAAAGGAAAAAAAACGGATAAATTAAACCCTAACGTAATATATTTTGCAATTGAACCAAACCTAACCTAATATATGACTAAAGCAAATAAAATAAAGAGGTTTACCTGAATCAGAAGTTAAGGAAGAATAGGCTGCGGGAATCGGGAGCTGCAATGGTCCATGGTGTCGTCATATGTTTGAATGGAGATGGTGAGATTAGGTTAAGCTGCAACTTGAGAGTCAAACTTACACAAACTTCATGTTCAATTGGAGTGATAAAGCAGATTTGGGAGGGAAGGAGACTTACACAAACTTCGTGAAACTGGACTTGGATTCGTCAATTTCAGCGAGAGATCTTCAGTTAAAAAAACATAGCGTGTGTATGCTCCCTCGGCGTTCTCTCGCTAAATACATACCATATGGCAACAAGTCGACGATTTTTTTCCCTCGTTGAACCCTCGCCAAATGTCTTTGTTTTCCACTGATTACCGAGTAATAAGGGCGCGCCGATAAAGACTTGTAAGATCCGTAACATATCCCTCGCTAAACCCTCTCTAATATGCTATATGTTGAATAAATAAAATACTTGTTTAAACCATCGCAGATCTCTCGTAATTCCCTCTCTATAAGCCAAAATTTTGATACATAATAGATCCCTCTCTAAATCCGTAGCTGAAAGTCAACTTTCTAGTAGTGTGGGGAAATGTTTCCATTTTTTTCCTCTTTGGAAATTACCTGGAAACCATAGCCCTTGGATGTTTTGTAACTTGCATTCAATGGGTAATTACCCCTACCCACTGTGAATCGTGCCCGCAATAACTGCAGCATAAAGGGTAAAGCCTTCATTTAAATAAGAAAGATTATATAATTGTTTAAAAATGAATAAAAAAAGGTAAGAAACTTTATTGGTATCTGTGACAGACATTGATAACATAAGGAGCTTCAAGAGATGTTCCAAACTGAACCCTAAGTTTAGATTGAAAGGAACTCATTGGTGATAGACTCCTGTAATAATATAAAGTAAAATAAATAAAATTGTATTAATAAATAAAATTTTAGAAAGAATATCAATACATGGTCACCTACCTGGATGATAAATTACTGAAAGAAAAGCATCAAAATTGTTCTTGAAGACAAGAGTTGGATTCAAGCACCACAAACTTAAAGTACAGGGACAATCATCACCATCAGCTCCTGCATGCAAAATGTTAGATATTATTATGAGAGTAAATTACGTTTTTCGTCCCTAAGTTAAGCTGATTTTTGCAATGTAAGTTTGGTTCCGAAAAAGGTTTTGGTCCTCATTTATGGTTCTTGAAGACACTTTTTTTTACCTTTTCATTGTGACCTGAAACCAAAGTCTATACATATAAGATTGGCATGGTGGTGAAAGGAGCCACATGTTTGCTTTGTAACGATTAAGATCAGGAGGAGTTAAGGTCTGAATGTTGCCCTATATTCATCCCCCAAATGAAAAAAGGTAACTATTTGATCCATTTTTATAAACATTTTTATCAGTTGGTATATTTATATCAATTCATCAAAAAATTGAACTTGAAAGAAGAGCAAGCAACAAAAATAGTGACACAATCATTACAAGGAATTACCATAGGCTCGTTATAGCTCGTGAACTGTATTATCAAAATCAAAAACATACCTGAAATGGTCGATGCCCAAAATTATGCTCGTAAACATCATTAGCCAAGTCGTTTATGTCGAAAGCTTCAACCATTTTTTCTTTCACTTCAGCCTTAATCACAGAATACCTCTGGTTAACTCCAACATGCCTCAAATGTTATCAAAAAAGAAATTTGAATAAAAACATTCAAAAATTGTAACAAGTTTGAAAGTAAGAAATAAGAGAGATCTCGACCGGAGTAGAAGGAATCCAATGACTTCCACAATCGAAGATGAACAATAACAACACCGATCTCTTGGTTCGTAGATTTGTCATTGATGATTTGGAGATCAATGATGACTGGTTATTGGTAGTCGAAGATTGCAGAAGCATAGGTGGTCGATCGAGGGAGAAGGGGTGATTCTATAACGCCTAGATTCCTAGGTATTGATTTCTGTTGTTATAAGATCTTTGTGGTTTCAAGGTCTACTCGACAGGTTGGTTGCTCGACTCATCGAGTAGCAGCGCGTTGGTCCACGTGTTTAAGTGACCTACTCGCCGAGTCCAAAGAGGGACTCGGCGAGTAGGAGTTGGAGTATGAAACCCTAATTTCTAGGGGTTTGCACCCTATTTAAAGGATCATTGGCCTCCTCAGCCCCCCTTACAGCCTCTTGATAGTCCATAAACCCTAATTCGTGTGAG